CCGCTGTCTCAAGCAGATAATGCAGTCTGACTGTGTGTCTGTTACGCTGTGTTTTAAAGATAATCATTTAAAAAAAAAAAAGTTATTTGGTAAAAATTTCTCACAGTTCAGCATTTTGAGATGTTTAATGATTTGAAGGTAAGACGGTAGCAGAAAAGCACAAATTCACCCTTTACCTTTCTCTTATTTATGCATTTCTTTTACACAATGTTAAGTTCTAAAATGGTTCAGACTTTCTGAAATAGATTCCCTAAAAACACAACTCAGACAGTCTCTGTGTTTCTGTTTAATCACTTTATTCAGCATTTATACACATACAGATTCTATACAGGGTGATTCTCAGCGTTATATCGCCATCTACAGGTACCAGAATGTAACTGCAGCACCGTTTAAGGTGGAACGGGAAATTGAAGTAAGAACTTGGAATAAGAAGCTACTTCAGCCTCGTAGCTGCACAAGATGTCTCAGTATGAACTGGTAACTATATGAGGTTTGTAGTTTATCTGCCGCTCTAAGCAGATTCACTGCATGAATGAATTAAATAGGAGCTACACAGAGACTCTCCTCCTCCACTGCAAGTGTGTCTTCCTGCAGGCTGGACTCCAAACAGGAGGGACTCAACTCCAAACAGGTTGGTCTGAGCTCTAAATGGGTTTGTGTTCTGTTAAATGCTGTTATTGGTCTAATATAAATGTATTCAAGCAGGTTTAATGTGAACTCCAGCAGGTCCAGTACGCTTGTTCACGCTTTGTGTTTGACTTGTTAAAAACTCAGTGCTCAATGCAGTGACATGTTGGCCTTTAATATCAATAGTTTTATATACAGCAAATATAAAACATCATGCTTGAAATTGCAGTATTTTCTTTTCCGATGTAAAAATGATTTATGTTAAATCTTTTCCATCTTTATTGTGACTTTAATGCAACTGAATTACTGAACAATTAAAACACATCTCAGTAAGAGGCAGTGAGACAAGATGAAGCCAAACATGTTCTGATCTGATAAATAATATAAAATGGTTGTTTGTTTCTGATGAATATATGAGAATAGAGGCAAATACCGGAATCACTGACATTCATCGACCTTAAAGTCACAGAGCTCAGACCCCGACCTGTGAATAATTAATTTATTGTACTTCATATTTATCTGAAAAAGTGAATATGCGCAGAACACCTAAAAGTGCTGGTAGAATAAGAGTTCATTTCGATATTCCCACAAATGTTACTCACAGTTAACATGAAAGCAGAAGGAATTTTGTGAAGACTACACTGTGGATCAAACCCGGATCTGACCTATTTAACTAATTTATATTTTAGATTATTTAAATAATCATATGGACGTTGTCATCGGTCTGTATTCAAAACCATGTAGACTAGAATGACCTGAATTGTCTAATATTTCAATTACCAGCTAGTATGAAAGGTTTACTTTTTCTTTCCCAGATTTTTCTGTGCTTTGTTTCAGGAATGACAGGAAAGTTTCTATAAACAGGGAAATATTTTGCGAGTGCATCACAATCTAAATAGAGAAGTTACGGTAGAACTCTCTCTCTCCTCCATCCTGAGCTAACATTTAGCTCCCATATAAAGTCTAAGCACAGATAATAAGTTTAATGTTATTTTCTAAATCAGGAATAAAATCCCCTTTACTTCACACATTAACGCTGCATCAGATTTTCTCCCTTCAGGTTCACTTTCAGTTATTATATTTGTCCCTTGGAGCCGCTTCAGTGAGTAAAATATGAAGACACATCAGGATTATTATAATTCTTATTAAGTTAAACAAAAATCTTTCGTAAGGTTCACTGTAACATGATTGACACTTGGTAGCAGCGATAAAATATAGAGTAGTAAAAATATAATGAAAAATACAAACATTATTCGTACATAAAACTGGACTATATATAATGAAAAGCCAGTGACGTCCGCAAAAACACCGAAGAGAAAATACAATTGCGAAAGTGAAAGTGATTGGTTGAAACCATTCGCACTGCATTGTGGGATATGTAGTTCATTCCAACATTAAACATGTTAAGTACACCATCTTGTTCTTTAACCTTTTCCGCTTTTCAAAACTTTTTTTTTTTTTTGCTCCGATTCGCTTCTATAATGTCATGATTGATCTCGTAGCTGGTTGGTTTGGCTGAGCGCTTAAAACTCTTTATTTAAGGATGTTTCGAAATTAAATTTTTTTGCCTATACTAGGACATCAGCACATACTGAGACATACTGGACATAAAATATTGTGGCTCCCAAGGTGGTTTGATTTTTGTTGAAAGGACAAAATGGCTCTTCATAACATTTGGTTTGTCGTCTCCTGACCTAACCTAACTTTTAATGCAGAGAGTGGCGGTCGGATTTCTCGCTCATCCAGTTGTGTTTTTGTTATGTGCACGTCAGAGTGTCTGGGCGCTGCACTTCTGCATTTCTAAGTTCCACCTTTTGCGTCAACATTGTTATAAATTAAAATTTAGAAAATAATTCACATTTGTGAATTGATTCAGGATTGTTCATGTCCGCATCATGATGCATCTAAGAATCGATTTTTCCCCCCTGCCCTACGCTAGTAGTGCTTCAGCAAGCAAACACACAGAATTTACTTTGTCTAGCAGCTGTTTTGGACTTTACAGTCATACATGTGTGAGTCATCAGAGCCAGAATCCAATTTGGAGCCAAAGGACGCTGGCCTACCCGAGAATCAACCTCGTTCCTCTCAGTCTGCAGCAGATTGGCAATTTTTTTCTCCCATTTATGCAAGTTAGCAAAGGTATTACTGACTAGCATAACCTAGACAACTAAAGAGAAGCACTGCTGTTAGTGCACTGTAGTTTTCATACCCTTATAGTGTTATAGGGGAGTGGTTACAGTGTTCGGGGGCATGCTGAGTGTGACTCTAGTTTTTATAGCGTTAGGGGAGGGGTCATGCTGAGTGTGGCTCTAATTTTTATAGCGTTATAGTGTTAGAGGTGGGCTCATTCAAAGTGTGGCTCCAGTGCATCATCGAGCCATGATTTAAGGCCCACCCAAAAATAATGAAAAGCATTTTAACAATCTAGCTCCACAATTCAGTACTACAGAGTTCAGTCTTTTTTTTTTTTTTACATGTTTTCAGCAATTATCTTCTGACATGTACTTAAATTTACCTAATTTGCTTTATACAAACTTTAATATCTAAACAAAATCATTCAGAGTGGTTTCACTTGCAATGCAATGAGACAGAATTGATAGGAACCAGAAATCTAAAGAGTTTAATGTCCATTCATGGCAGACAGATACATGCAGCGCGTTATAAGGAAACATAGTCCCCAAAAAATGTTTTCACCATTTGACCATTGTCAACATTTAAGAATAAAAACATTTGTTGGTTCACTTCGTAGTTATGCTGACCCCTGGCCCTCACCACCACAGTAAAGAAAATCTGAGTCTCTACAATCAGCCATTTCACACTAAACCACTCTGAATTACTCTGTTTACATCTCAAACACACAATTATGCAGACATTTTGAAAAACTGGTGGCATTCTCCTTTAATACAACTGTATCCTTATAATCATGTGTGTTAATGTCTGGAAAATTAAGTATGTCTGTAGTGAGTCAGCAGGTGTCCATCAGTAAGAAACCAGCAAGAGATATTTTCACGCTGGTATAAAAACTGAGTGTTTACACTGTTAACCGTCTCTTAACGTCACTGAAGTGTGTAAAAACAACATTTTATATTTACCTAAGGAGTTACATTTTTCCTGGCATGTATCCTAAGAGAAAGAACTGAAAATCAGTCTGCAGGATTTGGTGACAGTGTTTTGTGCTTTGTTTTAGGAGTTTAGTCCATTTAGCAGAAGAGACTGTCTAGTATCCAGCTGTGTGTCCATGAACAGTGATCTTTATGTGGATACTCCACTAATATTCAGAGATGGAGACCCCTCATCAGGACACTAATGATGGATCTACATGTTTAAGTGAGAGGTGAGCTACGATCTTAGACTGGTTTAAATATATATCTTCCCTGACAGGAAAGTGGTTAAGTTTAAAAATGTCTCATTAATTAATATAAAATGTTTATATTATTATAGTCATCAGCTGTTTGCTAAACTTTTTGTTCCTCTGAAGTATTTTGTGAAGACATTTTCTGAACTCTTTCCATGTTAAATGTCTTGCTCAACCATACATGCTAACCCTGTAAACAATGAGTGGAACCTACTGGTCAGCAGATTACAAGTGACATCATGATTATTACTTATTGGTGGAAACTAGATTAATTAGCATTTTTTACTAGGCTGGTCCTTTAAAGAGAATTAAAAACTGTATGTAAATCTCTGAAGAAATGGCTTTTATCATTTACAGTCTAATCCACATGAAGAGATCAGACTCTCCAGCGTCCAGCTGTGTGTCCATGAAGAGTGACTGGTCTATGGGTCAGCCCCCAGTGTTCAAAGGTGGAGACCCCTCATCTGAACACAGGTAATGGCTAGTAGAGTTGAGCTGTTGCTGAGAGAAAGACTGAGTTATGTTGCAATTCTTAACAGCAGAGAGATTTTATTTTATTTGTATTTCTGTTTTGATTATGTAAGTAGTTCGTTTCATACATTTAAAATGTAGATAAGAGCGCTTTCAATTAAAATGCTGTGATTAACAAGAACCTTTAAGAAACATGAAAAGAAAAGAAATATTTAATCAGAGATAAAAACTGATCATCAAGTAGGAGTGGCCAATACAAACTCAAATTTGTATCATTATATTTTGTACCATTACTATTATTACTGTTACTATTTTTGTATGGATGATAATGGTATGATATCAAAATGGTATGATATCATAAATCAATTTATAATAGTAACAATAATCATCACAATAACAAAACACTGCAATAGTAATTATTATTTTTTTACTAGTAGTATTGTTATTGCTACTGTTATCATTATTATTATTATTAGTAGTAGTATGGGTATGTATCATGGTAAAGTATATTTATGTATGTCAGGGGTGTCAAGTCTTACCCGCAAAGGGCCGGTGTGGCTGCAGGTCTTCAGTCCAACCAAGCAGGAGCACCTGACTCCGCTTCTTTAATCAACATGTTTAACTCAAACGACTGATCATGTGATCTCTTGCTTTGCTGGAATGAAAACCGGCAGCCACACCAGCCCTTTGCAACTCAGACTGGACACCCCTGATGTATATTTTTTTCAAATAAAACCATTTTGGAAGCCAAAATAAACAATTTTTGGAGATTAACAAAGATGTTATTCTGGATATCGTTCTCATATATATAATCAAATCATAAATATCACAAACTCCAATTTGTAACTAAAGAAAGTAATATCAGTGATTTTATTGTTTTGAAGGTTTTAATAAATGTGGTTTCTTTTACAGAGATTTTGGCAGCAACAAGTATTTAAATGATATCAAGACAGACAACTTGGTGAAAATGAACTAAATATTTATTAACTCAGTCTACTCTGAGACACAAATAAAGAATCAACAATAGTAATGTGAGCTAGAGCAAAGACCGATAAACGTGTGTGGCGCACTGAGAATTAACTTAATAATAAAAGCTCATGGAGTAACTTTTATAATGCTGAGATATGATGATGGTATGTTAGTGAAAGGAGAGATTCACATGCAAAGATAAGGGATCTAATTTGCTGTGCACATAAATCTAGTTTAGATGATCTAAACGAAGCTGGTCAAAACCAAAAGCATAAATACATTCAAAATTGTGGAGGGAATTAGTCTTGCTTATTCCTCGACTAGTCATTTAAAGGGAAATTAAATACCTTATGTAAATCTCTGAAGAAATGTCTTTCATCATTTACAGTCTAATCCACATAAAGAGATCAGACTCTCCAGCACCCAGCTGTGTGTCCATGAAGAGTGACTGGTCTATGGGTAACCCCCCAAGTGTCAGAGATGGAGATTCCTCATCTGGACACAGGTAACCGCTAATCAGGGTTGGGATAGCTACTGAAAAATTTGTAGTTAGCTATTTTGTAGCTATATTCCCAAAATGTGTAGCCAGCTACAATTTAGCTACTTTTCCAGAAAAAAGTAATGCCTACTTTTTAGCTACTTTTGAAAAGTCAATACAGTTTTAACAACAAATGGTCTTAAACGCTGGAGTTAACATGTAACTGCTAACAGGTCCATGACTAAGATTAGAATTTTTGTGAGGTCCATTTTGCAGAAATGTTACTTACATCTGATTGTGATTAAAATAGCTACCAAATATGAGTATTACAGCAACAATAAGATTCTCCTTTTGTTTTTTACTCAATCACTGCTCCTTTTTTACTCATCTATAACTGTTATGCACCTTTTTCTTTCATTTGTTCCTTCTTCTTCCCTCTGTTCTTCCATAAACTGCTATTAATGTTCCATAAACTTATTTGACTTCAATTGCCTTGTTTAAGTTTAATTAATCATGTAACTATTTACTTATAGGTTTATTTTCAGCTAAAAAATACATTAAACCTACATTAAATCAGGCGATAGTTTCAATGTGATTTTGTTTCATTTACTTCCCTCTCTCTCTCTCTCTCTCTTTGCTTGTCTCTTTTGCATCTCTGTATTCACTGATTACTGTAAAAGCACACATTAAACATATTTTATAAAAAGGCTGTCTGTACCAAAGCCCAACTAGAGGGAAAGGCGGCTACTCATATAGTTAATGAGACACAATACAGTCTAATGTACCTGCTGATTTCTTAATGTTTGCTACATGACACTATACCTTCAATATGCTGGTTAACAGTAAACTTTTATGTTGCTTGTAGTCTGTTATGAGTAGGTTAAACAATATAACTTTAATTTCACATCTCTCATTTAGTCTCTAATATAGCCTACTATGGAGCCTGTAGCATAAACTGAGCAGCTACTGGAGCTAGACTAAAGCATGCTGATTTGGCTAGCCACATTACAAGCAGTCCAAGCAAAAAAAAAAGAAATATAAGGTTTTCATTTTACAATCTTCATGTGTTAAATGCGCTCATAAACTCTCAGCTAGCTACATTTTTGCCATAGCAATGTTATGTGTTAGCTTATACCGAGTGTGCTGCATACCTGAACATCTCAAGAAGTCACAGTTACTCTGGTTCTCTGGGCTGTGTAGTGTCTCGTACAGAGATAAACAGAGCAGGCAGTTCAGTCTATGGCCGAGCCACAGCTGTACTGAGGTCAGCGGAGAACCTCTCACTGCTTGCTGTGTCGTTTCATTGCCTTTTGAATCTCATAAAACTCTGAGATTCTTCTGAGGAGCTTGGAGTCATAACGCTAGTTACGAACGTCACAGGCGCTGATTACTGAAGTAATTGTGGACAGCAACAATTAATAAACGGTGATTGGAGGGTTGAGAAAATAACGTGGAGCTTGGCAGATTTTGACTGGCCATAATTCAGTGACAGCGCTCACAGAGAACAAATCAAATTTCATATAAAAAATGGGGTATAATATTCTGTCCCCAGATTTAAGACAAACATCAATAATTTGGAGACGAATGGACTTATTTGCATTTATAATCACTCCAGCTGGTTTCCAGATACGTTTAATCTGCGACAAGAAACTGTCAAACACTAAGTCGTGAAGTCAGCTTCTCGTTCGAATTCTCCCGTTCCACCTTAAATGGCGCAATAGTCAAGTCACGTACATTCTGGTGCATCATGCAAGCGGCTACAGCTGACCTAAAGCTTAAAGCTGAGCAAAGTAAGTCTGCGTTTTCATTTATACTATGTTTTAGCCTGTACTAGCACATTGGCACACACTGAGACTTTTACAGCCAAGATGGTAAAACAGATATGAAATGCTTCAGTTGCGAGCCTTGAGCTAAGCCTACTAGTAAGGGGTGATCAACGCATGGGGGCAGCATGTGACCGTTTGCTTGAACTGTCAGCGGCTCAGTCAGGATTGCACAATCGCCACCAGCCCAGTGAACGGCTGCGTTCTGTGGTTCAGATTTTGCATGGATTGCCTGAAGCTTGTAGCAAAATTGTAGCGAAAATGATCACTATAGCTACACAAATTTGTAGGCGCTATAGCTATTAACTACATTTCATAAAACTGTAGCGGCTACAGCTATTAGCTACAAAAATTAATCACAGTTTAATTAGTTCAATGCTCACCAGTTTCAGTCTCCATTTCCCAGACTGTGCCAAACATTATTCCTCCTAATAAACAGACACACGTTCAGCTCCGTCTCCTCATTATTCACCACCATCACTGTATAATTTCATCATCAACATTAACACACGAAGGTGATCAGAGGGGCGGTGGAGATCGAGTCTGCAGCGTCTGAGATCTTTAAAACGCAGAGTTAGAAAAGAAAAACATCTCACAGCTAAAGCAGCGTTTTACTGTAGAAATAAATATAGCCTAATTATGCTAGTAGTGAACTATGCTGCCTGACACAGCTGCCTAAAAACCATAGAAACGGATGCTTAAACAGAATTTAGGACACTATTGAGTTTTTATCCTAAGGTTAGGACAGTATTTAGGATATTTAATCTAGTTAGGATGTTTGTGTGATGCTGTTTTCTCATCTGGATTTAATGATGAGATTTTGAAGTTAGGAACTGTTATTCTGTAAATTCAGTCGTAACTGAATTCCTCATGGAGACTAAACAGATCAGATTTCAGAGTTAGGATGTTTCTGTAATACAGTGCCTGAAATCTTGATCCCTTCTAGACACCCCCTTCTTCTTTCACCGGTGAGCCCCTTATTTTAGGGTAAGCAAACATGCATAAACTCTAACCTGGATTGATATAAAAGTATTATGTGAATGCAGTAGTATCATGGCGAGTAGACCACTGTATTAAACAACCTAATTTCCCCTCCAAAATCATGTCAGAAGAGTTACAGTGCTGACTTGCTTTTGTGTTTGGTGCATTGAAACCAATTATGTAGCATTCACACTCAAAAAATAAGTATAGTTAAAAAGACATTCACAGTTGAGCCACTGTGGACAGAAAAGCTGATTCATCCTTTTTAGTAAAAAAAAATCAGACCAGTAATATGTATTGGTAACATCCTTTTCAATATTAATATTACCCAGAACATATAGAGTTTGCAGTCTTGTTTTGCTTTTATGTATTTCATACATATATTTCATATGACTCTATATTAATGAAGCAGTAACCCTCACATAGGAACCTTTAATAACAGGGCATACGTAAACATATAATTCTTGACTTTTAGTATGAAAATCTGACTGAAAATATAAGCAGATGTTTCCTCCACTGTATCAGTATCCATTCTAAAATATTACAAAATGTGAGTCGAGCTGTAGTTATGACTGTTCTCTGATTTATTTTATACTTAAAAATAAGTGTTTTAGAAGATTTAATACTGAAGTTAAGATGATGCTTTTATGAAAGTATACAGCACATATTATTTGCGTGTCTACAGTGTCCTGCAGGGGGTGAGAAACATAACTGAAGAGATCATCACAGATAAAGAGTAAAATCACAACCAACATACAGAGACAGCAAGAGAAAGCAAATCAGGATGTCCACTTCATATTTCCACTTCCTTTCAGAGAACTGAATTTGCTGAAGGACCAAAAACTGAGTTTGGTGGATCTTCTTCATACACGGTTTAAGGAGATTAAAGAAATGGAAATATCCAGATCTCACAAAGTTCTGTTCATATTTGATGGTTTGGATGAGTGTCGTTTAACTCTAGATTTTCAGAGCACTGTGAGATTGGATGATGTCACTCAGTCATCCTCAGTGAATGTGCTGCTAACAAATCTGATCAAGGGGAATCTGCTTCCCTCTGCTCTCATCTGGATCACCTCCCGACCTGCAGCAGCTGATCAGATCCCCTCTGAGTGTGTGGATGGAGTGACAGAAGTACGAGGGTTCAGTGACCCACAGAAGGAGGAGTACTTCAGGAAGAGAATCAGGGATCAGAGCCTGACCAATAGAATCATCAAACACCTGAACACATCAAGAAGCCTCTACATCATGTGCCACATTCCTGTGTTCTGCTGGATTTCAGCCACTGTTCTAGAGAGAATGTTGGGTGAAGCAGAGAGTGGAGAGACCCCCAAAACTCTGACTCAAATGTACACACACTTCCTCATCATTCAGACAAAAATCATAAGAGAAAAGTACGTAAAGAACCAGAAGACAGATGAAGAAATACTTCTGAAACTGGGACGACTGGCTTTTCAGCAGCTGATGAAAGGAAACCTGATCTTCTATGAGGAAGATCTGAGAGAGTGTGGCATCAATGTTAAAGAAGCATCAGTGTACTCAGGTGTGTGTACACAGATCTTCAGAGAGGAATCTGGGCTGCACCAGAGTAAAGTGTACTGCTTTGTTCATCTGAGCGTTCAGGAACATCTTGCAGCTCTATATGTGCACCTGACCTTCATAAGGCAGAAGAGAAATGTGCTTAAACAGAGTCAGTCCTCTAAACTGAGGATCCTCAGGAAAATCTCAGATGTACACGAGAGTGCTGTGGATCAGGCCTTACGGAGTAAGAATGGACATCTGGACCTTTTCCTTCGCTTTCTTCTGGGTCTCTCACTGGAGTCCAATCAGACTCTCATACTAGACTTAGTGACACAGACAGGGAATAGCTCCCACTGCAAAAAGGTAACAGTTCAGTATATCAAGAAGAAGATAAGAGAGAATCCCTCTGCAGAGAAATCCATCAATCTGTTCCACTGTCTGAATGAACTGGATGACCGTTCTCTAGTTGAGGAAGTTCAGCAGTACCTGCAGTCTGACAGACTAAACCAGAGAACACTCTCTTCTTCACAGTGGTCAGCTGTGGTCTTTGTACTTCTGACATCAGGAGAGGATCTGGATAGATTTGTCCTACGGAAATATAACAAATCAGATGATATTCTTCTGAAGCTGCTGCCTGTAGTTGCAGAATCCAGAATAGCTGAGTAAGTAATACTGAATTAAACTGGCACAATATTAGAAACATACTGAGAATGCAACACTGCTTCATTACTCTCAAATAGAATAGAATAGAATTCAAATAGAAATTTCAGTAAATGAATGCACAAATACACAAATTTCAACAAATTGCCTACATATGTCTAAACAGTTTATGTAGTTTTATGTATTTTTATTTGCCTTTATTTTCTATTGAGCAGCATTAACAGGTTATATTGGAGCTCATATCAGTCTAATTAATGTAAGAATTTTGTATGTTATTTTGTTGTTTTCTTCAGTCTTTCATTTTGTAATCTGTCAAAGAAAAGCTGTGCAGCTCTGGCCTCAGTGCTCAGCTCAGAATCCTCCTGTCTGAAAGAGCTGGATCTGACAGAGAATAAATTAGGAGATTCAGGAGTGAAGCTGCTCTCTGCTGGACTGGAGAATCCTCTCTGTAAGCTGGAGACATTGAGGTAAGATCATCTTTCTTTCACACGTACACACGTTGTTTACAATATTGTAGTTGCTGTAATAGTGCTGAGCTTTTCTTGAAACCAGACTGCTGGGTGCTCAGGACACAGTTTACTTGAATTAACAATTTAAGTTGATTACTTATTAATATATTAGCGGGGTACTGTATGTCAGAAGTGATGTCATTCAATTACAGTATATACATAATAAAATATACAGTATATACACTTAATTAGTCACTAATGGTTTTAGATTTATATTTAAAGTGAACCAAAGATGGCAGCGCCCTGTATGGCAGCTACTCTGGCTACTCAGCGATGTTTTATGTTAAATGCACTCTCTCTTTTGACACAGTTGAATATGAGATTAGTCTATAGTCGCAGTTCTCTGCTCAGACTTCATGCATCCGTCTCATCCAGCAACTTTCCTACTGGTGTACTGGCTTTGGAACCCAAAACACTCTGTGAACTGGGGATTCTACACCAGCAAACCTCACCTACCATCACCGACCGCCACAGGAAGCAACGTAGCTCTTTACATTCCCTTGAATGCTAGCACAAAAGATGCACTATCCACACTGTACCAGTCTGTCAACTCAATGGAAAATGCCAACCCGGACTGCGTTTATATATATATATGCGTTTTTATATAATCGCTGGAGACTTTAATCAGGCCAACCTGAGGTTAGTACTACCAAATTACTACCCCAGGCACTGGTGACAAGGTATCCAGTCCATGACAGACTACAGGTCCCCCCACCACCACCAGGCGATGACAACACTGACTTCCTCAACACACCCAATACCTACTTCAGCCAGTTTGAGGAAAAGAACATTACCACAGTAACGAAAGCCCCTTTCAGTCTGGACGATGAAGTACTCTGTCTCGACCAAGCTGATGTCTGGAGGACCTTACACAGGGTCAACCCATGGAAAGCTGTAAGTCCTGACAACATACCAGAGTGTAGAAAGTACTCAGGTAATGTGCTGACCAACTGACACACATCCTCACAGACATCAATAACACCTCCCTGAGCCGAGCCATCGTTCCCTCATGCTTCAAAGAAGTTACCATTGAGTCAACACTCAATGACTACCACCTTATAGCACTCACTCCCGTCATGATGAAGTGCTTTGAAAAGCTGGTCAGAAATCACATAAAATCCAGACTCCTGACAATGCTTGACCAACTCCAGTTTGCATACCACCCTACATGCTCCAATGCTGATGCCATATCAGCAGCACTTCACCTGAGTCTGGCCCATCTGGAGAATAAGAACAGCCATGTGCAAATGCTCCTCATTGACTTCAGCTCTGCCTTCAATACAGTCATCCCCATGCACTTAAGGAAACTTGGCCCATTAGGCATCGACACCCCACTGTGCCACTGGTTACTAGACTTCCTCTCAGACAGACCCCAGACAGTACAAGTTGGAAGAAACACCTCTAAAACCATCCTGGACATTAGAGTTCCCCAGGGCTGTGCGCTGAGCCCTCTGTTGTTCACCCTGATCACTCATGACTGTTGTGCCAAGTACAGTTTGAATCATATTATTAATCATCTGGTGTGACAATAACAACTTGTCACTGAATGTTGACAAGACAAAGGAAATTATGCTACTGAATGAGGTTCTTCCTACAGGCCATCAAACCACTCAAATCCCTCTAACAGTACACAACATGCTGGCCTGTCGGGACTGTTGAACTCCTGAACATACACACAGACTGTCTGAACACTTCTATAAGTACTCTGTCTTCTATATAAAACTATATATACAATATTTACAATGACCTTATCACTTGAGCACCAGGGTGAAGTTTATATTTCCTGATTTCCTGTGATACTGTGTAATCTGTGTATCTATACAACTTGCATATAATATATAAAAACATACAAATAAGTAAAACAAATTTATATATATATATATATATATGTGTGTGTGTGTGTGTGTGTGTGTATATATATATATATATATATATATATATATATATATATATATATATATATATATATAATTTCTTGTCTTCCTTTATTTGTATGTTTTTATGTCTGCTGCCTAGCATGTCTATGTGCATTGGATTTGTTATATTTATGTATATTTTGCACATGAATGAATCTCATTCAGAATGACATCTGAATGACAAAGTTCACTTTGACTTTGAGATTTGCCATCATTTAGGATGGGATAAACGTATTAAAATTAGGCAAAGATCATGGTAACTGAGGAAATTCAGGCAAATGTTTATAGAAGGGTGCATGACAGTTACAGTACAGGACTCAAAAATTAATTTTATCACCACCTTCCCTAAACTGTTCTGAAGAATATTTTTGTATGTTTGTTTGTTTGATAACAGATTCGCTCACGAGCCAAAGAGCCAATCTAAGTGATCAAACACATGAACAAATAATAAAGTTGTTTAATTTACCATTTACCAAGTGACTATAGGTGACAACAATGTACAGCCCCAAAGATAAAACTGTACATAAACAGGATCCAGAAACTCCGCCACCGTCTCTGGGCCTGAGCTCATTTAAAGTGGACTGAGTGGAAGTGGAAAAGTGTCCCGCAGTCCGATGAATCAACATTTGAAATTCTTTTTGGAAATCATGGATGCTGTGTCCTCCAAGCTAATAACCATTCAGCTTTTTATCAGTGCACAGTTCAAAAGTCAAAATTCATGATGGTATAGGGGTGCATTATTGCACATGGCATGGGTGACGCTCATATCTGTGAAGGCACCATTAATGCCGAACAATGTATACATATTTTGGCAACATATGCTGCCATCCAGATGACGTCTTTTTCAGTGAAGTCCTTGCCTATTTCAGCAAGACAATGCCAAACCACATTCTGCACGTATTACAACAGCAGGGCCCTGTATTAAGAGTCTGGGTGCTAAACTGACCTGCCTGCAGTCCAGACCTGTCACCGACTAATAACATTTGGTGCATTATGAAATGAAAAATATGACAAAGGAGACCCTGAACTGTTGAGCAGCTAAAATCCTATATCAAACAAGAATTAGAAAACTTTTCACTTTGTTAAGAGTGTTGTTAAAAGAAGAGGTGATGAAACGGAGTGGTAAACATGCCCACGTCATAACTTTTTTGGAACATGTTGTTGGCATCAAATTCAAACTGGCCATATATTTTTCAAAAAACGAATTTCTCAGTTACAACATTTGATATGTTGCATTTGTAATATTTTCCTTTAAAAATTCGGTTTACGTGATTTCAAGTCAAGGCTTTATTGTCATTTCAGCTATATACGTACACAGTGGAACAAAACAACATTCCTCCAGGACCGTGGTGCAACACAGGAACACAAGTGCGAGACAATACAATAAACACAGTACAGACAGTAAAATAAAAAAATGGGAAAGACTTACAATAAATACATAACATAACATAAATACACATTCAGATAGAGGTTGTTAATTTTGTGCCAGTCTGTCACACCTCCTCTCTGTATGCTGACTCATTGTTTTTGCTGATGAGACCAACCACAGTAGTGTCATCAGCAGACTTTATGATGTGTTTAGAACTGTGATCTGCTGCACAGTTGTGAGTCAGACTGAGCACATTGCCCTGGGGGGCTCCAGTGCTTAGTGTGGTGTTAGAGATGCTGCTCCAGATCCAGACTGAGGTCTCTCAGTAAGAAAGTCTGCATCCAATTGCAGAGAAAAGTGTTCAGGCCCAGCAGGCTCAGCTTTCCAATGAGGTGCTGAGGAATTGTGGTATTGAATGCTGAACTGAAGTCTATGAATGGCATTCTTACATAAGTGTCCTTCTCAAGATGAGTGAGGGCCAGATGAAGAGTGGTGGCCATCTGTAGAGCGATTGGAGCAATATGCGAACTGCAGAGGATCTATTGAAGGAGGCAGCTAGGTCTTGATGTGCCTCATTAAGAGCCTCTCGATGCACTTTATCATGATTGGTGTGAGTGCAACGGGGCGATAGTCATTGAGGCAAGATGCCGGAGGTTTCTTCAGCACGGGCAGAATGGTGGTGGCCTTGAAGCACCCTGGATAAATGGTGCTGCTTAGCAAGTTGTTGAAGATTTTCGTAAGAACTTCCACTAGCTGGTCTGCACATTCCCTGAGCTTCCCCCAGGAATGTTTTCTGATCCATCAGCCTTCCGTGGGTTAACTCTGCGCAGAGTTTTCCTCACATCAGCAGTGGACAGGCACAGTACCTGGTCGCTGGGTGGAGGGGTGGTCATTCTGCGCTTCAAACCATGCGTAGAAGTTATTCACCTGGAGGGAGGGAGATGTCTTCCTGTAGTTGCTGAAGGCCTGAATGCCTTGCCACCTGCACCATGTGTCACCGGTATTTTGGAAGTGTCCACGGATTGTCTGAGGGTGTGCGTGCTTCACCTCTCTGCTAGCTCGTGACAGTTTGGCCCTCTTTGTTCTTGGCGCCACTTTGTCACCTACTCTAAAGGCTGAGTCACAAGCCTTCAGCAGCATGTGCACCTCAGAAGTCATCCACAGCTTCTGAGTTTTGCGTGTGGTTATGGTCCTGGAGATAGTAACATTATCAATGCATTTGCAGATACAGCCAGTCCCTGATGCTGTATATTCCTCCAGGTTAACAGAATCGTTATTAGTGGCAGTCTCCCTAAACATGCCCCATGCAGTTTTCTCAAAGCAGTCTTGAAGAGCAGAGATGGCTCTTGCTGGCCAGGTTTTCACCTGCTTCTGGACCGGTTTGGAGTGTCTGATGAGTGCAACGGGACCATCTGTGTGTGGGTATCAGAAATGTGGTCTGAGTAGCTGAGGGGGTGGGGCTCTGCCCGGAAATATTAGTGTAAACAAGGTCCAGTGCGTTCACCCCTCTCGTTGCGAAGTCCACATGTTGATGGAATTTTGTGAGCACTGATCTGAGATCTGCATGATTAAAGTCACCAGTAACAGTAAACAGTCCGTCGGGGTGCTTGTTCTGCAGTTTACTGATGGCTCCGTACAGTTCACAGTCTGGTTCCTTGGCATTCGTGCTGGGG